CAAGGAAATTGCCTTTGAAAGTCTAAGAAGAGAAAGGTCTTTAGCCCTAACGGATTAGCCCAAGAACAAGGGCTTGGGGGACCTAAGGAGCCAGCCTTTCTGCCGAGCTCTGTCCAGCCTCCTGCTGTAAGGCACCCCCTGTGCTCCGGGTACCCCGGGAGAGAGAGCACTCTCACCCACGCCGCAGGAGGTCCCGGCCCCGGGAAGCTTAGGCCCCAGCCCCTGGCAGCACCCCACTTAGCTGGGGCTTGTCTTTCACTTGAAACTCATAATTCGTATCGTTATTTCTCAAAGAGAACTCCCAAATTGTCTTAGCTTCAGGCCTCCCCCACACTCCGAACTGAAAGTGCGCACACTCTTGACTTGTTCATTTGTCTGCTTCTCCCATCAAAGTATTAATATCTCAAGGGACAGAGCTCTTGTCTTCCCCTTTTGTCCTCCCTCTCCACCCGTCAGCCCGGCTGGGTGCTTGGCATAGTGCCAGGGACCCAGAGCCTCTGCTGCATGAATGAATGAATGAATGAATGCATGCATGCATGAACGAACGAACGCATGGATGAGAAGGAAGGAAAAACACAGCCCGAACCGAAACCTCTCTGCTAATTCTACTCACTCCGCTAGGACGGCCTCCTTAAAATCGTCGGGTACAAGGTGCTGGCCAGTCTTCAGAGGCTCAAAGCCGGGGCCCCCGGGTCTCCTCTCTTCCAGGGGAACAGCCCCTGTTCCCCAGCCCTTGCTCTTCTCTTAAAGGTTATCAGCAATAGAAATTCCATCTGGGTCTCACTGCTGTCCGTATCTCTGACCAGCAACACTGCCTCTTATCTAGTGAGGCTGCCTTCGCCTCCAGTCCGCCTCTGGGCCCGCTGGTAACATTTATGTTTTTGGAGGAAATGCTTGAGTCCTGAGGGATAATGCCCACTTACATGGCTCTTCGAGCCTGAAAAGATACACTAGAACACACGGGCCTGGCTTTCCAGGGCGAACGCCAGGGAGGAGTCCCCGTGGGTCCTCTGATCGGGGGCCTCCTCACCTTCACTGTTGTGCTCTCCTCTGGGCGGTGTCACTGGGTTCCACTGACAGCTCCTCCTGGACCAGCATCCTACACCCGTCCCCACCTGTCCCCCCGCCCTGCCGCCCGCATGGTTAGGTGCCTGCTTACTGCCAGTCTCTTCCTCTTCCCCACTCTCTGCTAGGACGTGAGCTCCCTTTGTCTGCCCAGGACAGTGCCTGGCACATAGAAAGAGCTCAGGAATCGTTGTTAACGCACACGCTATTCACACTAGCATTCGTCAAATTCACAACCTACAATCGTTCTGCTGGGAGCTAGGGATACAAAAGCCTCTGAGCTTAAGCAACTGGGCCAGGAATACCCCTACTGCAAGACAGGAAATGCCCTCTCCCCGGGAGACGCCCACTTCCGCATTCACACCCTCAACCTGATCAAGGTCTTTGCAAGCCCAGGAGAGCAGCCACACAACACCCCTCCCCCCACGAAAAGGCTCGTGCGCACATACACACAGTCCCCCACGGCTGCACGCTCCTGCGCCCCATGTGCATCTCTGCACACCCTGTTGTGTGTTTCGCGACTCCGTCAGGGACGCCGCCTGTAAACATTTCCTGGGGAGTGAAGGAAGTGACCACCACCGTGCCGTGGCCTTCCTGCTGCTCTGGGCGTCAGCGGTCTTGGATCCACGGGGGACGAACAGTTGCCCCGCCTTTGGCTCGGCTTTTCATCCGAGGCAGCGGGGTCTCCCCCGGCCATCTGGTCCAGTGCCAACAGGCAAACAGGCACCCGCTGTAAACTTGCCACATTTACCAGCCGTGCCGCTTTGCGTAAGTTAATTCTCCTTTCTCGTTTCCTCATCCGTACGTGGGCCACTGGGCTGTTATGAGCGGTCACGGTAAGGGAAGAGTTTGGAACAGGGCCTGATCTATAGTTTATTTAAATAAATGGGATGGTCTGTGGTATTGGCACTGGGCCTGGGTGACTGTTCAGCGTCAGGAAGACAGATGTGGATATCAAGAACGTTGTAGCCAGCATCTCCCGTGTGCGCTCGTGGTGTTTTTAATACATCAGTTGATTTAGAAACGATCTCGATGATGTACCTATGTATGGATATTCACATACATATGACGTATATGGGTGTATATACAGATGTGTATACACAGGTCTATAAATACGGATATGTGTATATGTATGACAAATCTATATGTATACACATGCACACACACACACACACACACACACACACACACACACTGCCCATTTCTCAGCTCTGCCTGCTCAGAGGGCCTAGAGGCAATGCTCCCTCAGTAGCAATGGACACATCTTGTGACCAGAGGATATTTCTAGATGCCATTCTCCACCGAAAGGATCCCAGGCTCCTTGACCAACTGCTGATTCCATCCTTAACCAACTGATAAAGCCAACAATGCAGGAATGGGACAGCCCAGCATCAGCCTTCCAATGTGAGGCCTTCAGGACACCCCACGAGCTCTGTGGGATGCCTGGCAAAAGCATACAATCTAAATCGGATCACGAGGGAGCATCAAACACTGAGGGGGAGTCTGAAAAATAATTGGCTTGAACATGTCAAAAATGTCACGAAATGTAAGACTAAGGAAGTTTTCCAAGAAGGGCACATACCAAATGGGCTTTCTTTTGCTATGAAGGACCTCGCAGAGGGCAACTGCTGAAATCTGAATAAGGCCTAAGGATCAGATAATAGTAGCAAGTCAATGTTAAGTTTCGGCCTCAGTTGTATGGTCATTGTAAGAATTTTCTGATTTTAGGAAAAAATGGAGAGAGGAAAGGATAGAACAAAAATAATAAAATGTTAACACTTAAGGAATCCGAGTGAATGGTACCCGGGAATCTTTGGGGGCTGTTTTTTGCAACTTATCTGTAAATTTGCAATTATATCAAGACAAAGTCATTGGAAAAAAAAAATCAATTGAAAAGAATACCCTGGGTTCACATACTGAGAAAAAGTGAATATAGTGCTTAGCACAATAATCTGAAGCTCTTATAATATTATTGTTACCAGAACAGTGTACCCAGCACGTAATAAGCTGAAAATGGATAGATGATATTATCACTGTCAATATCATCACCATCACCCCTGTTATCCCTGATGTGCTTGATACTAACTACACAAAACTCAATACCTTTTCTTACTGTGACTTCTAATTGCTTCATATCTGCATTCAACTCCATCGTCTGAAGGTCCGTTATGGAAACACCCGTTTCAGGTGCTTCCAGCCCTCACCTGCAATGGTGCTGAGTTTGAAGACCAACCAAGAGAAGAGAGGTAGGGCCCATTCAGATCTACACGTACGGACACATATCAATTCAATCTTTTGCCATCGTCCGAATCTCTGCTTTGTTCTTGCTAGTTCCTGGGCAACCCAAGGTCGACTAAGCCCAGCTCCTAAAGACACAACCTAGGGCCTTTGCCTATAGACCTCCGGGATACCTAGAGTTTTTCTGTTCCCTCTTCAGACCCATCGGTAAACACTGGGCATCTCAGTGACTGGGCCTCTTATTCTGCACTGCACTGCCTTATTCGATAAGAGGAACCTCCTATTACACCCCCAGTCCTGACCCATCCAAGATGGCGGGACTATTGCCAAGTCCAAGCTTCTCCCCAAGGGTCTTCTGTGCTCAGACCATTTCTGGGATGTGGTAAGGTCCCAATCATCATTAATGTGTGTAACACGTTCTTTAAAAGAAAACCCACAGTCCTTTTGTCCCCATCACTCCTCATTCTCTCAAGACTCACAGAAATCATACCTTTAGCTCATTTTCCCCCTCTCTTCGTTTCTCACCTCCCTTGCCCCTATCTTCAGCCTACGGAGACACTATGGCCATTGCCTCTTCCCCTTTTCAGGAGACCCCATACTGTGTCTGACCTTCCTATGACCACAGAAAGGCTCATATTTGTATCAACCTATTTGTATATATAAAACCGATAAATCCTAAGGTCCAAGTGGCTTAGTTTTTACATGGAGTTATATACAGCAACCACAGGTTGGCTGTCCAAAGAAATTTTAAAAGCAATTCCATGTTTATAGACAGGCAGGTAGACACAGATATAGATGTCCTCACCAATAATCATATAGAACAGCCACACACACACACACATACATGCACCAACCTTCCTTCTTCCACAGTGGTTGCCATGATATCCAAGCTGAGTTAAACGCTGGCAGATCGAAGAGAGACAGCCCAGGGCAGGGCGATCAAAGTTTCCCCAAGCCCGCCTTCCTCACTGATGGAAACGTTCTCAATGTGCACGGTCCAAAATGGTAGCCATGGGTCACATGTGGCTACTGGGCACTTGAAATGTGGTGAGTGTTGAGTGAGGGCTGAATTTTTAATTTTGTTTAATTTTAATGAATGAACACTTAAATAGCTGTATATGGAGTGGCTACCTGCGGACAGCTTAACTCTAGTCCAGGGCCTGGCACGCTTTTTCCATTAAGGACCAGACTAAATATTTCAGGCTCTCAGGCCACACAGCCTCTGTCACCACTGCTGGTGTGCTGTGACAGCAACCACAGACATACTTGAACAGAGGAGTGTGGCTGGGTACCCATAAAACTTTATTTATAAAAAATGGCCAGGCCAGTTTTGTCCTGTGGGTCATAGTTGTTTGCTGATGCTCACTCCAGCACAGCGTCATTCCAGACCTTCTTTGAGATGGCAGGCATTGGCCATACGAGGCTGTTCCCAACCCGGTTTTTAAGTACTTGCTTAATGAAAACACAGAAGGCTTCCCTTTCAAGAAAAAGAGGTCACTTGACATCCTAACGGTCCTACATTTTTCCCTTTAGGAGAAAGCCTTCCCTCTTAACGGAATGTCCCCGGGGAGGGCAGGCCAAATTATAAAGAGATCACGACGAGACATCTCTCCTCCGCGACTCAAGATTATTCTACGGAAGAAACCAGAAAAGACAATACCTCTCACTCGTGCAAGGGGAAGAGAGCAGTCATTTACCTAAGTATGCCCAGGGAATGTCCACTTCCGGTCCTGGCCACAAAGCTCAAAACGTTTGCTCGCCACAGCCCCTGGCGATGATGATCACTTCTGGCATTTCCAGGTCAGAAAGGTGGAGTCTGAAAACGGTCCCAACTGGAAGGGAAGAGGAAGAGGAGAAAAGCTGAAGTCATTGTTGACATTTTGCTCATTCGTGGTCTTTTGAAAATGACTCAGGACGATTAAAAGCCACTCGCCCAATGCCCCACACACCCACCCAGTGATTTATACATCAAGTATTTTTTTGAAAGAAACACCTATCCCGTTCAGTGCACACAGCCAAGCACCAGAGACAGAAAGTTGAGTAAACCATAGTCCACACCTTTAAGAAGCTCAGGCTGGTGGAGAGGACGGAAAAATAAATAAGCATCTCATGGCAACACGATACAAGGACGTGAATGATATTTGGCAGAGCGAAGGGAGAAATGACCAACCCAGGAGGAGGCCAGATGGATCGTTTCAGCTGCTCCTTGCTCAAGTGAAACGCCTTTTGGCAAAAAGAAAAGGGTTGGGGAAAGGGTCTCTGAGGAAGACGATAAAAGAAAAATGTATGTGAGATCAGGGCTAGGGTGCACCAGGGAGGCCGGGTGGGAGATGGTTTGGGAAGGCCTCACCCTTGAGTAAGAACAGAGACCCTCAGTTGAGTTCCTACTTTCCCCCAAGCACTGAGAGATGTACCGACCACACGTTGTCTCACGAAATCCCTGGGGTGGTCTCCAGGATCATTCCCATTCAATGGATGGGCAGCTGGAGCTGGGAGAGCTCCTGGGAGCAACCCTGAGCAAGATGACAAAGGCAGTAAGGGGTAGAGAGCGGCCCCCAAGGGGACACCCCCATTCTGTCTGGTTCTACTGTCCTCGTCTTAGCCGCCAGGACAGGTGTGTACGGTAACGGCCCCTCCCATTTGCTCTGGCCACCGTGTACGCACGCTCCTTTGCAGAGTGGTTTTGCTCCCTCTCCCCACGTGAACTGAGGTCCACTTCTCCACCCTCTGAATCCGAACGTGGCCATGTCACTTGCTTTTAGCCAGTGAGCCAATAACAAAAGACGAAAAGCTTCAAAGGCGCTTGTGCCCAAAACTTCCCCTTCCTCGCTGCTAGGAATCACTCTGGGGCCACATTGGCCCCTGAGCTGGTCCCCTGGAGGAGGACAAACACCATGGGAGAGGCCCCAGGCATGCCAGCCAGCCCAGCTCCCCCCCCCCACCCCCCAGTGCGTGGACCACGTCACTGAGTCCCAGCCAAGCTGCTAGGACCACAAGGAGCATCCAATCAACCCACAGATTCAGGAGAGATAACAAGTGTTTGCTGTTTAAGGCACTAAGGTTTGGAGCTGCTTGTTACGCAGGGAAAGCTCACCGATGCAATCACTAAGTAAGCTTTACACTGCCGGCAACGGTCATAAAACACGATCAACTTGCAACTTACAAAGACAGGTTAATGGGGGATGGGCATTGAGGAGGGCACTTGTTGGGATGAACACTGGGGTGGCTATATGTGAGAGACGAATCACTGAACTCTACTCCTGAAATCACTATTACACTATATGTTAACTAACTTGGGTTTCATTTTTTTTTTTTAACCATCACGATAATAAAACGAAAGATCGGCCTGTGTGGGTGATTGCCCAGAGAGGAGGAGGGCCAGAACTAAGACAGGGCTGTGGGATAAAGGAGATATGGGAGGTTCAAGAGCTATTTTAGATGTAAGGTCAACAGGATTTAGTTACAGACCGACCCACGATTTGTCTAAAGGCGCCTGGTGTTGACAATAAACAGATTCTATTTGGAGCTCGCTGAGGGGGCGGGATGTGGCCACAGACGACACGCGAAGTGGCCCGAGCCACAGCAGTTGGGGCTCAGTGTCACAGCAAATGCAAGCACCCGGGATGGAACTTTCTTTTCAGCCCCTGTTGTCTGAAAGAAGAATTAAGGTGAGCTGCTCACTGCCCCAGCCTCCTGACTGGACCTGCCTTTCCCACCTCCTCTGATGCCTTTCCCTGCTCTTGGCAGCCCCCGGAGGGATCCGTGTAAATTGCAACCCCGACCTTCCTCCCTCCCATCACCAGCTGGCACTGTCCTCTTTCCCTCTGTGCTGTCCACACGCTCTTTGGATTTCAGTATCGACGGCCTCTCCCAGGGACAGCTTTGCCGGGCGCCTCGAAGAGGCCAGTCCCCGCCACTGCCCAGAATTCCCTGCGCTCCCAAACAGCATGCGCCACTGGCCTGATAACTCCCTGGGGTCACAGGTGTGCCCGTGCTACATGTCATTCCGCCACCACCACCTGGCACGCGGCTTACCGCGTGGGACAAAGTCAGTTCCCGTTTCCTGAGTGAGAGAACGAACAGAAACATTCACGTGTCACCCGTCCGAGATGTTTTCTTTAACGTACTCCCTTCCACACTCCAAGCTGGGTTAGCCACCTTGCCGTCGGGCACCCGCGGCTTGCTGTGCTTACCTTCATTCGTTTGCGCGGGATTCCTGGCCCCGACCTGGCGAGCTTGCAACTGCGGGGCTTTTCCAAACTACAGCTGTCCCCCAGGTGTTGCCCACCTTCCGTGGCCTCCGTTTCTCAGCTCCTGACACACAACTGGGGCGCTAAGCGCGCAGAGAAGGTAACTACCCCACTCTGCACCTGTTGGTCCCAGGGAGCAGCCTAGCTATTATGCACGGAGATTCTCCTGGCCTTTGCTTTTCAACACGCACCCCGAAAACCTCTTCCGAGGTGGCTCTCTTCCCACAGCACCCTGCCCTCTTGCATCTCCCTACGTTCCACGTGCTTCCCTACCTTTCCTCTCCCGAGCCTTCGCCCTTTCATTTCTATCTATCCAATCGGTAGCCGCTCCCGGCCCAGGCCCTCAGAAGCAACTGCTGGGTTTAAACCAGATCTGGAAGCAAAACACACGTCCACCAACTCTATCTGCTACGTGGGAGGTGAGGGCCCATAAGTCATTCCTTCTTTACCCCTAACAGCATCACCATCGGCGAGCCCCCTGACGTTCTTTTTGACGTTCCTTCCCATCATGCAATAGAACACGATACATCTCGTCAGGGGGTTTTGTTCTCTGATTTTGTTTCTTTGGGGAGCAGAGGAGGGGGCTGGAGGCAAAACTCTGCATCACCCCTGGAGGAGTGCGGCCGGTTCGCTTAATAAATCATGGCTTTCTCCTCCACGCGAGAAGTGATGACCCGGATAACTGTGAACGCTGGGCCCCGCTGAGTAATATCGCTGCCCTTTGAAGGTACAGGAGTCTGTTCCCAGAGGCCGGTGGCCATGTCATACTCCAAAATAATGTGCCTGGCTGCCGGAGGTGCGACAGACCAGGAGAGGCGGGTCAAGCCAGGCTGCGTGACTGTAGACAAACGGCCTTTCTCTGAGCCTTAAAGTTTGCTCCTTAGTAAAACGGACACCGCACCTGCTTCCACTACTTTGCAAGGCTCTACTGCGAAACAAGCGGATAAAAACCAACATGAAATCGCTTTAACAACAACGGCAATGAAGTAAAACTCGCAGTAGTGAGAGCCTCCGAGACCACTTGTAACGGCTCATGGGCACTTTCCCAAACTAAGCCCTGTGTTCTCCAACGCTCTGCTAATCTTCACAAGGATGTCATGTGAACTATTATTTGCATCATTTTGCGGATGAGTACCTGGCGGCTTGAAGAGGCTAAGCAACTCGTTCAAGGCCGCAGTCAAGACTGGAGGCCGAGTGATAAACCAATTCCTACCCTGCCTAGCACGGCGTGGTTCACGATGGCGCTCACTGAGCCTCGGGTGCGCCCGTTGAGCTCGCTGCTCGGCCCTGGCAGGGACCACAGCACACTCTTGGGTTCTGCCCGTGAGGAGCCCGCCCAGTGGGGAGGGGTGCGGGCACACAGCCGGCAGCCGCGCCACCCTGCACCCCAGGGGGAGCCTGTCAGTGCACAAGTGGGTGGTTTCTTAATCCGAGTTCCTGTCCGGAACACGATGATCACGACCGTGGAGAGTGCGATGAACACAGAGACGGGCAGATCTGTCTGCCACGGGGACGGGCGACCCAGATGTAGGCAGGTGCAGGGACGGATCAGAAGCTGGGCAGTGAGATGACCCAGAAACGCCTGGAGTAAGAGCCGGGTACCCGGAGCAGGGCTGCTGGCCAGCTGGGAGCAGGGTGCAGGGCAGGGGAGCCACGGGTGCCTGGGCCGGCTCCAGGGTAGAGGAGTTGAGCGGCCCCTCCCTGAGGCAGCCGTGTCCCCCCTCTCGCGGCCCAGGGGCTGAGGAAGCCGGCCCGGCCTGGCGGGCTGGCAGGAAGGGCCCTGTACCCGGCAGGAAGTACACACGCATGTCCTGGGAGGGCTGTCCTCTCGTGCGTCCCCTCCCCCTCTGACAGAGCTTCAGTCGGGGGCGGTTTCTCCCACCCAGTGGATTTCTGAATTCGGAGGCCAGGCGCTGGTCTGGCAGCTTCGGGGAGACGTTATGATTACTGACAGCGAATGGATGGATGTGGACGACGAGGCCAGCAGCGGGCTAAGCAGCCTGTGCGCATGATTTCATTCGGTCTGCGCAGCAGTCGTCTGGTGGCCGGGGGCAGGCTGACCCCCATTTCAAAGATGTGGAAACTGACGCTCTGAAAGCATTAGGTCGTTTTCCCAAGGCCGCAGGTTCGGCAAGGGGCAGAGGTGCAATTCAAAGTCAGGGTCGCCTCGCACACAGACCCGTCTCCTCACCTTCTGGCCCGGCTGGGCTCTAGAAGGTCGTCTCCCCACCTCACACCCCACAGATGTGTAAGTTGGCGGTGGGGGGGGGGGGGCGGGCTGGGGCGGCTCACTGGCCTGCACCTCCGCTCTGGGCTCCCTAACATCATCGGTTGGCTCCCAGCTCTGCAGCGGCTTCAGCTTCTGGTTCCCAGCACCGAGTTCAGTCTGTTCTCCAAGCCCAGAGAAATAAAGATGTGGGAACTTCTCACCCGAGGCAAACACCCCAAACACGGCTGGCCGTCACTCCCGTGAGCACCGGGCCGCTCCCTCCCATCCGCCGCCAGCCTCAGTCTCTTGGTTTTCCAACAACGCAGGTCTGGCTACGCCTCTTTCTAGAAGCAGGTAAAGAAACCTCGGTCGT